CTACAGAGAGAGAGAAAAAGAAGTCATGCTAGAGGCACATGGGAAATGCAGACAGACCTGTGCATCCGGATTGCAGAATGCCATGGGGGGAAATGATGGGAGATGGCACTGGAAAAGAAAGTAGGGATTGGGGCCAGCAGTTAGCGTAATGGCTATGTCACTGGACTCCCATATATCCGACTGCCGTTCGAGTCCCAGACCCGGTGGCTTAAACTCATGCCAGGCACTTGTGCATGCATGCCCAAGATCTCGAGAGGAGAATGGAGGAGAAAGGATTGCAATGTGGCCATGCCTCCTGGGGGAGGTGATTTCTCACTTTCTACCTCTCTGTCTCTGTCTTTTTGGGGAGGGCACATGCCCTGTAGCAAAAACCTCTCAAAAAAGAAAGAAAGAAAAAAAGAAAGAAAGAAAGAAAGAAAGAAAGAAAGAAAGAAAGAAAGAAAGAAAGAAAGAAAGAAAGAAAAGAAAATGAAAGTAGGGACCATCAGAGGTGGTGAATGCACTAGGCTGAGGGCCTTTGTCTTTTTTTGTTTGTTTCTTTTTTTTTTGGAGAGGTTTTTGCTATAGGGCGTGTGCGCTTGCCAGAAAGACAGAGAGAGACAGAGAGACAGAAAGCAAGAAATCACCCACCTTGGGGGATGACCACGCCACAATCCCTTCTCCTCCATTCTCTTCTCGGGATCTTGGGCACGCATGCACACGCGCCTGGCATGAGTTTAAGCCACCAGGTCTGTGACTTGAACCACGGTCGACTACATGGGAGTCCAGTGACATAGCCATTATGACAACTGCTGGTCCTAGGGTCTTGGCTTTCTGACACTGACAAATGGGAGGGCCCGAGGAGGGGTCTTAAGCAGGAGGGTGGTGTGGTTAGAGCTCAGTAGCTGCCATTCTCTAGCCCCAGAGTCTGTTTCCCGTCACTGGCCAGAAAGTAGGAGAAAAGGGAAAGGAAAGGAGCAGTCCCACGCGGCCCTCTGAGACGGTCAGCCAGCCTCCTGACCCCAGCTTGGCCTCTTCCCAGCACTAGGCTCGGTCCCCAGCCCCAGGCACCCAGACAAACCCCTCCACGCCCCCATGACAAAGAGGCTCATGTGGAGCCTGGGCAAGATTTGCAAACATCAAACTTGTAATTACAAGGATGAAATCATCTGGTTCCTTTTAAGCAAACGGGTTTATTGATCCCAACACTAAAGAAATGCTATTCTGGGGGAAACTTGCTCTTCTCTGCTTTCCTTTTCCTATGGGATGGCTGAGCTAGTGGGGGTGGGTGACAGGGGAACCAAGAAGAAAGAGAAGCTCCTGGGAGGGAGGGGAACAGCTTTAGTGCCCAAGGGTGAATTCTATAAAGTAGGAATTACATCTCAAAAGAAAAGTTCTTTAGGGCTCAGGCAGATGACACTTTCATCCTGGATTTAAGACTATCTTCTAAAAACTAGAAGCTGAGTTGAGCCTGGACTTCAGGCCCTGTGCCAGCCATTCATATCCCTCCCCTCCCCCCAACTCCTAGTCTCATTTGTGGCTCCAGATCCTATTTCAGCTTCAAGACAGTACCATATTTCCCAGAAACTGCCGGAAAATGGTTTTCTTAGAAAAAAAATGCACTACAGGCTTAGAGACCTGGGGGACACTACCCCTTCTGCAAGGACAGGCAGATGGAGGTGACTGTTGACCCAAGACGTGGGTAAAGCCATCCTTTCTGTTCTGGTGGACTCTGGGAGGCAGGATATTCAGGCCTTGAAGTTTCCAAGTCAGCAAGGAACAAACAGCAGGGCTTGGGCACAGAAGTGCAAAACCCTTAAGAGCGAGCGCCTGTTCTACTACGGCTCTACTAACCCACAACAGGACCCCGTCATGCAGCCTGTTGGGGACCCTTCTTGAACATGGTAGGGTGCTCCTGGAGAAACTACCCACGTCACAGACCTCCGCGTGTTTGCCTTCAGTGAACGTGATAGTAGGACTATTGGCATTTCCATCACAACGCTGGGTCACTTAGCCCTTCTGAGCCTCGGCTTCCTCATCTGTAGAACAGGATCCCCAGACGTGCAGGGTTGTGGTGAGGAGTGAATAAAGATGATGTGCCCCAGTGCTTAGCCTTTAGCTAGCGCTCATGGGCCAGAGTCTTCTCACTGGCCTATGGTCACTTATTTACCTTTTCAGAGTTTCTACTTTCTCATCTGTCAGGAAGGACTGAGATAAGGGGCATAAAAGCACCTTCCTCAGAGCTTTATAGTTGGGCTAGACAATGAGGGTTTCCCACCCCCTGCTCAAAGTACCCACCTGCTTGAAATCAGTCTGGGGCCTGGGACCAGCAGGTGGCGAGGTGGTTAAGGTGTTGAACACTCCCACGTGGCTAACCATGGTTCAAGTCCTGGACCAGGTGGCTTGCTTTCTCACTTTCCCTCTTTCTCTCTCTGGTGAAACTAAAACAAGGAACAAACAGCAGGGCTTGGGCACAGAAGTGCAAAACCCTTAAGAGCGAGCGCCTGTTCTACTACGGCTCTACTAACCCACAACAGGACCCCGTCATGCAGCCTGTTGGGGACCCTTCTTGAACATGGTAGGGTGCTCCTGGAGAAACTACCCACGTCACAGACCTCCGCGTGTTTGCCTTCAGTGAACGTGATAGTAGGACTATTGGCATTTCCATCACAACGCTGGGTCACTTAGCCCTTCTGAGCCTCGGCTTCCTCATCTGTAGAACAGGATCCCCAGACGTGCAGGGTTGTGGTGAGGAGTGAATAAAGATGATGTGCCCCAGTGCTTAGCCTTTAGCTAGCGCTCATGGGCCAGAGTCTTCTCACTGGCCTATGGTCACTTATTTACCTTTTCAGAGTTTCTACTTTCTCATCTGTCAGGAAGGACTGAGATAAGGGGCATAAAAGCACCTTCCTCAGAGCTTTATAGTTGGGCTAGACAATGAGGGTTTCCCACCCCCTGCTCAAAGTACCCACCTGCTTGAAATCAGTCTGGGGCCTGGGACCAGCAGGTGGCGAGGTGGTTAAGGTGTTGAACACTCCCACGTGGCTAACCATGGTTCAAGTCCTGGACCAGGTGGCTTGCTTTCTCACTTTCCCTCTTTCTCTCTCTGGTGAAACTAAAAATGAATAAATGAATAAATAAAATAAAATAAAGAGAGAGAAATCAGCCTGGGGGTCCTACAGGAGCAGCTACCCACCCCAGAAGGTAGGGAGATGTCAGAGAAAGTCCTAGTCAGGCTGAGTCCTTAGGAAAAGAAGATTCCAGGAAGCAGGCCTTCAGGGGGGTCCATCAGGTTTTGAGGAAATGGGGTGAGGATGTTTCTAACCATCCCTCCACTGGGCAGTGTGTAGATCAACCCATAACAACTGGGCAGCTGCCAATGCTGGTAGAAGCCCAGACCTAAACGTACCTGGCATGGATGGAAATTTTCTTTATAAATTTCCTTTAACACCATTTTTTAAATAATTGGAAAAAAACTTAAATAACAACAAAAAAGGCATCCAGAGGTCAGCTGAGGAGATGGCCTCCTTCAGCCTGTGGCTCGCTTCCGGTCATCCTGGTTGGTTGGATGCCTGTGGCCTGGAGTTGCCAAAGGCTGTCTGTGGTGCTGCTGTTCTGGGTGTGCTTGGCAGGCCGTGCTGTCCCCTTCCTTTAGGACATCGTTCCCCACCCCCATGAGGCTGACAATTAGAGTGCCCTCTCCCGCTTTTGTTTCCACCCCTCCTGGTCCAGCTCCTTTGACCCTGACCTTTTCCTTGCCAAAGATTGTGGTGTCTGTCTGGCCAGCTAGATGACCCTAGAGATCTTTCACCTTTTATTTGTCCTGCATTTTCCAGGGCAGAAACAATATTAGAGTCTAAAGGCCAGATCAGTTGCAGGTCTGTAAGCCCTACCTGGACCCATTATAGAGTAAAAGTAGGTTCTTGAGGGGCCAGCAGGTGGCACAGTGGGTAAGGTACTGGACTCCCACATAGCCGACTGCGGTTAGAATCCTGTACCTGGTGGCTTGCTTTCTCATTTTCTTTTTCTCTCTCTGGTGAGGTGATTTGGCAGAGGGGATGAGTATGCACGCAGGCTGGGCAATCAGATTCCTTCCTGGTAATTTTATGACCTGGATATGGAGAAGTGGCTGATTTCTTTGCCAGGAAGTGAATGCCACTGAAGAGAATCTGGGAGAATTCTGCAGTAAGGAGAAATGAGAAACAGGAAAGAAAATAAGAGTATTAGTCAAATGGTGCCCATCTATCTTTCTTTCTCTGGCTTGTTTACTCGAAATGAAATAGGCCTCTTTTAGTTTTAAGGTTGTTGAAATTGGTTTTCTTTCACTTGCAATGAAAAGAGACATGAGGGGAAGAGTCTGAGATAGCTAAAGATCCAACAGTAGTGGTCAGTGGTATCCGTATTCATGCGGGATCTTCAAAACATGAATAGTACTTTAAAAAGTACACATGGATTTTGGGACCAGGAAGTGGCGTAATGGTTATGTCGCTGGACTTCTACATAGTCCACCACGACTCAAGTCCTGGACCCAGTGGCTTAAAACTCACACCAGGCATTTGTGCGTGTGTGCGTGCATGCCCAAAATCCCAAGAGAATGGAGGAGAAGGGATTGAGGCATGACTATCCTCCCTGGGGGGTGATTTCTCGCTTTCTCGTTTCTATCTCTCTGGCGAGCATACGTGCCTATAGCAAAAATTTCTCTTAAAAAAAAGTATGCATGGATTTCTATTTTTTTCCACCAAAAAAAAACTTGTACTAACTCATTTTAACATGTCTGAATAGGACCTAATTTGAGGCACTAAAAAAGATAAGGCATCAATTTCAAAGAGCCCCTATCAGAGCAATATGAATTCTGCTAAAAATGAAGTAAGAGCAAACACCAAATTTGTAGTGAATCTTTGGCAAAAGAATAGTGAAATCATTGATGCTTTTCAAAAATTTTATGGGGATAATGCTTTCCCCAAATCATCAATTTAGACATGGGAAAAGGGGGCCAGCCAGTGGTGTGATAGTTCAGGTGGCTGGATCTCACAAAGCTGACTGTGCAGCTCCAGTCCTGGAACTGGTGGCTTGAAAAACATTCTGGGCATGTGTGTGTGTACCCAAAATCCTGAGAGGAAAATGGAGGAGAAGGGATTGTAAGAGCCCATCCTCCTTGAGGGATGATTTCTCACCCTCCAGTCCCACCCCTCTGGCAAGAGCATGTACCCAATAACAAAATTAAAAAAAAAAAAAAAATGAAAAGAAGGGAACAGACTACAACCACAGCAACAGACCATCCACATCAATTTGCCAGGAAAAATGAATCTTGTCTTTGTCCTAATTGAAGAGGACCGACTGAGGGAAGAGAAAGCTAGAAAATGGAAGCAGGGTGAAGGAGCGGGAGCATCTGCCCATGTAGCTAGATAGAAAACCCATTAGGGCAGAAAATTCCCTGCCCAAGCTAATGTAGGCAGATTAGTGTGTGTGTTTGTGTGTGTGTGTGTGTGTGGGGGTGTCTAGCTGATTAAGCCACATTCGATATAGCCAATGAGATGAAACAGTGGGCCTAGCCACATTCGACATAGCAGTGGACCCAGTCACCCTGCATAGAGCCAATGATATGAGAACAATCAGTGGGCTCAGCCAGTGACAAACCAACATGACCTTGATTAAATAATTATAAAACTTGGGACCAGCAGTTGGTGTAATGGCCATGTCTCCGGAGTCCCACTTGGTTGACCATGGTTTGAGTCCCGGACCTGGTAGCTTAAACTCAACACCAGGCATGTGTGCATGCATTCCCAAGATCCCAAGAGGAGAATGGAAGAAAAGGGATTGTGGTGTGGCCATCCCCCCTGGGAGGTGATTTCTCACTTTCTGTCTCTCTGTCTCTCTGTCTTTCTGGCGAGTGCACACGCCCTATAGCAAAAACCTCTCAAAAAAAAAAAAAAATTATAAGCCTCACAGAATGTAGCTGCTGGAGCCTTTGAGCCACCCTATCCTCTGAGGCCCCCTTCATACCTCTCAGGAGTGTACTTTCACTTTCACTTAATAAACTACCTTTTCCTTTCGCTCTTTGCATGTTTTATTCAATTCTTTGTCTGAAACACCAAAAACCTGGGTATCATCACAGATGCCACATCACAATATAATGGTTAGCAACCTGAATACCAAAGGACTCAGCTTACACAATTCCGATGGGTGCTAAAACTGTTGTACCTGGATCGCCTAAAGACAGAAATTTTTAAATAAGTGGGATCAAGATCCTGAAGCATTCCTCCAAATAATTCTACCGGTATGACCCTGAAGACAAAATACAATCAAAACAATGGTTATCAAGAAGTAGAAGCGGTTCAAAGCAGAAATGGGCCAGTCAAGAACAAAAGTCATGGTCACAGTCTTTTTTTTTTTTTTTTTTAAGAATTATTTTATTGGGAACCAGCAGTTAGCGTAATGGCTATGTCGCTGGACTCCCACGTAGTCGACCGTGGTTCGTGTCCCGGACCCGGTGGCTTAAAACTCACGCCGGGCGCGTGTGCGTGCGTGCCCAAGATCCCAAGAGGAGAATGGAGGAGAAGGGATTGTGGCGTGACCATCCCCCCTGGGGGGTGATTTCTCGCTTTCTGTCTCTATGTCTCTCTCTGTCTGGCGAGCGCACGCGCCCTACAGTGAAAATCTCTCCAAAAAAAAAAAAAAAGAATTATTTTATTTAACTTTATTTATTTATTTTAATTTGATCAGAGAGGAGGGGGGAGAGAGTGAGAGAGAGAACATGAAAGAGAGAGAGAAAATCCCTCTTGCGATTTTGGGCGTGCACACAAGTGTGCCTAGCGTGAGTTTTAAGCCCCCGGGTCCAGGACTTGAACTAGAGTCAACTATGCAAGAGTAATGTAACCATTGCGCCATCTGCTGGTTCCCCACCTTACAATTCTGACTTGCCTCTTTCTAACTTCTTTTTGCTTCTTAATTAAACAAAACAAAACAAAACAAAACAAAACAAAACAAAAAACTGACTGGCACCTAGTTTTCTTGAGTTAATAATGTAAAAAAAGACACTGACATGGTTGAATTCCTAGGACCCTCCTTCTTTAGGAATGGACTAAATGGCTGGAATCATTGCTTAGAAAACTGTCTTGAAGGTTTTTTTTGTTTTTTGTTTTTTTTTTAGTAATTATTTAATTTAATTTATTTATTTCAGTTTGACCAGAGAGGGACAGAACAACAGAGAGAGAAAGCAAGCCTTCAGGTCCAGGACCCAAACCATGGTTGGCCATGGTAGGAGTTCAGTGCCCTTAACCACCACACCACCTGTCAGCCCAAAAAGTGTCTTGAACTTCGATGAAGTTCATGCTGAGAAATAAAGTTTATATTTTTATCTTTTCATTGATTTGTTTATTGTAATTTTGGGAGAGACATTTTTACTATAGGGTGTTTGTGCTCGCCAGAGAGACAGAGAGACAGAAAGTGAGGAACCCTGCCCCCGCTTCTCCCCACAGGGATGGCCATGCCACAATCCCTTCTCCTCCATTCTCCTCTGGGGATTTTGGACATGCACATTTATGCCCTGATGTAAGTTCAAGACTAGGTTCCAGACTCGAATTGCTGTCACCATGTGGGAATCCAGCAATGTAACCACTATGCCATCTGCTGGCCCCTTTTTTTAATATATATAATTTTGCTATAGGATATGTGTACTTGCGGGAGGTGGGAAGGGGGGAGGTGGGAGAGAAAGTGAGAAGATACCCAGGGGCATGGCAATGTCACAACCCCTTCTCCATTCTCCTTTTGGGATTTTGGGCACACACATGAACATGCACCTGATGTGCTTTGTAAGCAGCTGGGTCTAGGACTTGAACTGCTTTGCAAGCCATATGGAATCCAGCTGCCCTAACCACTACACCACTGGCTGGCCCTATTCCTATTTATTTATTTGTTTAAATTTTTTTTTCTTAGAAGTTTTTGCCATAGGCCACATGTGCTCTCCAGAGAGAGAGAGAGAGAGATCACCCCTCAGGGGGATGGCCACACTGCAATCCTTTCTTTTCCTTTCTCCTGGGATCTTGGGGATGCATACACATGTACCTGGCATGAGTTTCAAGCCACCAGGTCCAGGACTTGAACTGCAGTCAGCCATGTGGGAGCCCAGCAATGTAACCACAATGTTATCTGCCGACCCCCCCCCCCTTTTTTTTTTTATCAATTCTTTGAAGTTTCCTCTATAACTACACATATATTTGCACAGGTTTGGTGTGGACCAGGGAAACACACCCTAAAAGGAGCCGATTCTAGGCCTGTTATTCAGAAGGAGTATGTCTGTCAAAACCATAAGCCTACTGGTTTGATTTTGCTAAAGAACAAGAGACCTTGGTCTTCTCTGGACCTCAGTCAAGGTGACCAGGGACTAAGTGTTTTCCCAGGATATGAGCCTTTCATTGCTAAAACCAGGACAGTCCCTGGCAAACCTGGACAGTTGTTCATTAGAGCTCAGTTCCATAGCTGTAAAAGTGACAGCAATGGGAAATTCTGCCAAATCTTGTACAGACATTGACAGTTAACTTTGCACTCATTCCTGTTTAGTTTAGGTGAATCCTCAAAATCTTTTGTAATATGGCCACCTAGTTTCAATCAGAGTAGGCACCTATTTGCCATACTTGGACTGAATTTGTCACAAGCTAAAATTTTTTAGTTTTAGTTTGCTATAGGGTGCTTGTGCTCACTTGACAAAGAGAGAGAAAATGAGAAATCACATCCCTCCCCCGTGGCCACCCTCAATCCCCTCTCCTCCAGTCTCCTCGTGGGTTCTATACACTTATGTACACACATCTGGCATGTTCCTGAAGCCAGGGCCAGGAGTTAGGACTCCAGCTATGCAGTCCGCCATGTGGGATCTGCAAGCCTAAACCTCCACGCTATTTACTGGCCCCATCCCAAGGTCAAATTGTAAAGACCAGGATTTATTTAAAAACAACTTAGAGTCAAGCTCTGCCATGAACTCAGTGTCAGACTTTCTGCAGCTCGAGCTAATTACTTCCCTAAAACACGTGGATCTTGTCTTTTGTATTCATTGCACATTTGGTAAATTACATGAACTGGCAACGGGTCTTATGTATATAAAATTGAGATTGTTCTTTTGAAACAAATGTATTGCATGCCATTAAGCGCTAGACGATATAAATGTTTCACGCTAGCGAGTTGCGAGCTCATGTATCTATATTTTCGAAATATAAAAACTGAGGTTTAGGGGTCCAGTGTTTGTCTAAGGCCCCAGCCAGAAGGCAGGGGAGCTGGCTGGGATTCTGGGGTTACTCCACGCGGCAGGGGAGCCCAGAAGTTCAGATGGCCAAGGAACGGCGGAATAAAAGGCCCGCGCGGGCCGCTCTGGGTTGCCAAGGACCGGGCGGATTCGCACAGAGCAGCTGCACACTGAGCGGCGCCGTTGCGGGCACCGGGAGGAGGGCCACCGCGGCAGCGAAGCCGGCGTTCGCCGCAGCCCGGCAGCCTGGCTAGCGGGCGGGTGGCGCATGCGCAGCGCGCGCCGCGGAGTTGTGAATGGTGCGTCTTGTTTGCAGGAGTTTGAGGCGGGCGGGCGCGCAAGGAGGAGGGGTGGGGCCGGCGG